TGGTGCCGTCAGTGCTGCCGGCCCTGCCCGCCGACGGTGCGCACGCGTGCATGCATGTGCAGCCGGCCCCGCTCCCTGGGGCGGGGGTGCAGCCAGCCGCCCCGGTGGTGCTGCCCAAACCGAAGGGCGGGCCAGCGGGGCAGCCCCGCTGGCAGGGAGCGGCTGTGCCTTTGGTGGGGGCAGGCGGACGAGAGGACGATAGAAACCAGCGCTGGGGTCTAACTGATTGCAGCAGCCCTCAGCACAAGCAGGCGGCCTCTCTTCCTGCCCGTGCCAGCCACAGCGCATGCCAGGCCTCCTGTTTATCAGCTCCTTCTGCTCAAAGTGCTTCTCAGAAGAGAGAACGTCCGTCTGTCCGGCTGCGCTGTAACCCCCTTCCCCAGCACGATGCTCCCAGGGTCGTCCCCGCAGCTTGAGAGCTTACATCCTGCAGGACAGGCTGGGCTCAGCCTTTCCCAGGGGAACACGGTGACCAGGATGGGGGGTGCATGCCGCTGCTGGCACTGGGATTTTGGGGAGCACCGACGTGGCCACGGTGATGGGCTTCGGCTCCCCTGGACAGCCCTGCCCAGAGCACGGCAGCAGCTCTCGCCGTGGCTGAGGGTGCTTTCTTGTGCGCCAGGATCTCGTTCGAGTCTCCGGTTACTTGGGGGGGAAAAACATTTCAGAAGAGGAGAAAACCCAGCTGCTCTGGGAGCGGGGAGCTGGGATGAACCAGGGGGGATTGCCAAAAGCTCCATCTGGTTTCCCTCTAATGATTTTGTGAGGAGGCTGGGAGAAGCCTGCTGGGGAGAGGGATGCATGCAGGCAGGAGGGTGACCATCCTGCCTGTTGCGGGGCAAAGGTGCTGCCTTCCCCTGCCCACCCCGGGGCTTGGGGCTGAGTCCCGCTGTGGGCTGGGCAAGCCCTTGCTCCGCAGCCGGGAGCCAGTGCTGCATCCCCCAGGGAGCATCCCTGTGCGGCTCAGCCGGGCTTACACCGGCCCTGGGGAGCCGGAGGCAGCCGGGACCCCCAGTTGTGTGTTTGCTGGAAGAGCCGCAGCCCACTGCCGGGCTGGCCAGGGCAGTCGCTGACCTCGCAGCTCAGCAGGGACATGGCCATGGAAAGTTTGCAGCATCCCTGAAGCCGTGGCTGCTCCACGTGTGCTTTGTCTCGAGTGTGTGAGCCGTTCCCCTGCGCCGTTGAGAGCCAAGCGCATGCCGGAGGCTTGGCAGGATCCATCCCTGGCGGTTCTGCCGGGGCCGCTGACGGCACTGTCCCCTAGGGTGGTGCAGGGGGAGCGGGCTCAGCCCAAGCCGCAGCAGCAGGGGGATGCAGAGGAGGACACCGTCGGTGAGCTGGTGTGGTTGGGGGCTTTGCAGAGCTGCAGCTGTTTCTCCCATCAGCCGGCTCTTGCCACCGCGCCACGTGGCACCAGGGACGCAGCCGGCGGGACTGGGATGTGGTGACAGGTCTGACCGAAAGCAGAAGCTCTTTCCGTTGAGTTTTCACTCTGATTTTGTCCATGTGGGTTTTCCTGTGCCAGAAATTGTGCAACTGCTGCTGCTACGGGGCATCCTGCTGCGTTATTAATCCCTATTCCCCACTGCACAGCACAGCCTTGTGCCAGAGGAGCTGCTGTGCCCAGGTGCCCCCGTGGCTCCCCGCAGCTGTCCCCGTCCCCTGCTGTCATGCTGATGCCTGTGTCTCCTTGACAGGTACCACGACCAGCAGGACGTAACCAGCAACTTCCTGGGTGCCATGTGGCTCATCTCCATCACCTTCCTCTCCATCGGCTATGGTGACATGGTCCCGCACACCTACTGTGGGAAGGGTGTCTGCCTGCTCACCGGCATCATGGTAAGGGCCATGCTGAGCCGGTCGCCTGTCCCGCGGGCTCTGCCTGTCCCTGCCACAGCAGCAGGGCCACCAGATTTCATGGGAACCCGCTTCCCAGCTGGCTTGTCCGTGCACAAGGTGTAATGGCTTTGGCTCCAAGGTCTTGCAGCCTGGAAGGTGATAGAGCTGTAATTGCAATTACTGTAAGCACAGTAATTAGCAGGATGTGGCGGTTTGGTTAAGGAGGTGATAGTGCAGGCTGGGTGCATGCCTGCTGGGTGCTGCAGTCCCGTGGGGTGCTGTGTGGGACACCAGCCGGTCCCCTGCCCCATGGTACCCGCTGGTGAATTTGGGGTGGATTTGGACCTGCATTTGGTGAGGGAGGGGGAGCTGGACGGTGGTGGGGTTGGGAATGTCCCCAGGGAGCAGAGGGGCCCCAGAGCATCCCTTGGCCATCCCCGCTCGCACCACCTGGCTTCCATCGCCCAGAGCGATCCCAAATGCTGCTGGCTCCCACCGAGAGCCGGGACCAGCTGGGAGCCCTCTGCCCCCCCCCACTCCTGCCGGCATCACTGCTCTGCCGCAGCTTCATTTCCTCATGGCCAGAAGGTCACTGTCCTCTGGGGCCTCCAGTGTACCTGCTCCAAGGCGCTCGTGAGATGTCCTGGCTTGTGGGGCTTTCCAGCTGGGGTGGCTGAAGGAGCGGCCGGGGGCCCTGTGGTCATGGCTCCTCCATGGATCAGCCCCAGCCCCCAGCACCCTGGCTCTGCCCCCCTCAGCTCCAGGCCCTGGGGATGGAGCCGTCCCTGTCCCCCCTTCCCAGCTGGGGCAGCCCGAGCTGGCGCCCGGCACCAGCCGGGCTCAGCTCTGCTGCTCTGCGCCCCGTGAGAGCTGTCAGCTGAGACGGCTCTGCCGGCGGGTATTAATTTTATGTTATCTGCAAGTCTTTGATCCGCCTTGTTTGAGGTCGGGCACCAGTGAGGCTGATGCTGTTGATAGGAGCCAAGCGAGGGAGAAAATCCCTCCAGGGAGGGAGACACGGCATATCCCAGCAGCACGGCACATTTTTTGAGGGAAGGGAGAAAATCCCTCCAGGAGACACGGCAGGCCGGGGGCCCCCCAGAGACCCCCCCCCCCCCAGCGGTTACTTTGAACCAAGGCACCATCTGGCAAAGCGTGCCCTGCTCCCGGCACCCATCCGGCAGCACAGCCCCCCCCGGCGGGGATAGAGACCCCCCATGACTGCCGGGGCCAGGGGCTCCCCTGGGCTCCCTGAGCTGCGGCACCAGGGGTGGCCGCCCTGCCGGGAAGAGAGAAGTGATGGGAGTTGAGAGCACGCAGCGGGACTTTCAGGGATGCTAAAGGATTCAGCTCAAAGCATGATGTTAATTAATGACTCTTCAATAAATTAAGGAGCGTTTGCCAGGAATGTGGGGCTCTGCCAGAGTGCCGGGAGGGGGGAGCGGCTCATCTGGTATGGGCAGCGGCAGGCAGAGTGCAGGAGCACCACAGGGAGTGGAGGCTTGGCACCTTTGCTTTCCAAAGACAAATACATGCCGGAGATGATGACTACCGCGCGGATCCGGCCCTAATCACTGGGATAAGCGAGATACCAGCTGTCGCTATTGGGAGACGCAGCGATTCAGGGGGTCCCAATTCGGAGGTCCCCTTCCCCGCTCTCCCCCCCGGTTGCCCGGTGCTTCCCCACTGCTCTCCCACCCCAGACCCCCCTTGGGAGCAGGGGGCTCCCCATCCCACAGGGCACTGACATGGGGCAGGTCCCTGGCCCACGGTGGCACTGGTAAGCAGGCTTAGCCCGGCCATTTCTAATGGGTGCCGGGGAGGCAAGGGCTCACTGCTGCTCACTGCTGACCTTGTAAATCAGCCCCAGCCTCTCCCATTAATTACCCAGCACATCGTCAGCCTCTCAAGGACACCCAGGCTCTGTGACATCTCCTCATCAGGATGATGTGGGTGGGGGGGCCATGGAGCTTTAGCTAATTAGGGGGTTGCGATGGTGAGGGTGGGAGCGCTGCTGTTGCATGAGGGTGCTGGAGGATGACAAACTGTTTTCCTGACTGATGTCCCTGTGCAGGGTGCTGGCTGCACGGCACTGGTGGTGGCCGTGGTGGCCAGGAAGCTGGAGCTTACCAAAGCCGAGAAGCACGTCCACAACTTCATGATGGACACGCAGCTGACAAAGCGGGTAAGGTGCTGCAGGGGGTGGCGGGATCTGGGGATGCTGGGTACCACGGTGTGAGGAAGGTGACGGCACCCCTGGGTGCAGGTGCCACGGTGGGAGGAAGGTGTCCGAGTGGCTTGGATACAGCGCAGGCACAAGCGTTATGGTGAAAGCAAACAGCACCAGCTCTGTATCAGGGATTTAGGCAATGCAGGATGCTTGGCCGCACCCCTGAGAAGAAAAGCCCATGTTTTTTTTTCCCTGGGAGGATGCAGACTCTCTCCTCTTACAGAGCATGATCTCATGTAGCTCGGTGTCAGGAAGACAACTGGATTTCAGTGATTCAGCACCTCGCCTGCTGCAGACGAGAGCCGCACCGTGAGGCTCCTGCGGTTTCCATCCCCAAGGAGGGACCCAGAGGCTCCGGCTGCGGTGGGGGGTCCACAGGGTCGCTGGTTGTGCCAGGGTCCAGCGTCACATCCCCGGCAGCGGGCAGGGGCTGCAGGAGGTCTCTGGGCTCAGCAGCCTTGTCACGGCAAAGCGTCAGCAACCTGACAACGCTGCATGATGTAATGGGCTCCACACGTCGGCGGCAGGAGTGATATTTTATATAGGGGATGGTGGTAAAGCAAGCATCAGTGCAGCCCTTGGAAGGGTGACCTCCCAGTGCCGGCATGGGGTGGGGGAACTCTGCTTTGCCCCGGAGAGCAGAGCCCCAGGCAGAGCCGCATGCTGGCAGGAGCCCTGATAGCCTGGGGATAGTCGGGGGCCTCGGTGTGGCTGGGAGGGGGAAAGCAAACAGCTGGACAGCCCCGCTCCCCCGGCCATGGATATGGATCTGCAGGCTCCGTGCCAGGCAGGCAGTAGCCAATTCATCTTGGAGTGAGCAGCAGAGCCGCGGTTTAGCCGGGGGAGCCTGTGGAAGCTGCATCCTCGTGCTGGCAGCCCGGCCAGGACCTGCCAAGAGCAGCAGATGGATGCGGGAATTGAGGAAAAACTTTGGGATTTTTTCTTTTTCTGGAGGCTTAGGGTACAGCTTCACGCGGGGATGAGGAACCCGGTGGTGGCATCGGTGCAGGGTAGGATGGGGATGTGGGCACACCGGGGGCCAAGACCCACCACTCAGCGCGGGCAGCTCTGCCTGCCCTTGCTCCTGTCCGAGCTGCCTGTGATCCCTTGCAAAGGCGCAGGAGACTGCGCGGGAGCGGAGCCGAGTGCCTCGCTCCAGCTGGGGCAAGTCAAGTGCTCTTGCAGCACCGGCTCACGAACCGGCGGCTCACGGCAGAGCCAGACCGGTGTCTCCATGAAATCCCACATCCTGTGTGCTGGCGCGGCTGGGGCCAGTGACCTGCAGCCAACTTCCCTCTCGCAGATCAAGAACGCGGCGGCCAATGTCCTGCGGGAAACATGGCTCATCTATAAGCACACCAAGCTGCTGAAGAAGATCGACCATGCCAAAGTCAGGAAGCATCAGAGGAAGTTCCTACAAGCCATTCACCAGTAAGGGGCTGTGCGCCGGGCGGGAGGGCTGAGGGGGATGCTGAGCCCCAGTCCCGGGGGGGAATCGTGGTCCAGCCCCTGGCAGGGGCGTGGGGACAATTTCCCGTTGCCCTGGATGTGGGCAGGTCTCCGGCTGTGGTTTGCAATTGGGGAGGGGGTGCAGCTGTGTTGCTCTTTCCTCCTCCCCAGGTTGCGGAGCGTGAAGATGGAGCAGAGGAAGCTGAGCGACCAAGCCAACACCCTGGTCGACCTCTCAAAGGCAAGTCCCCGCAGCGACCTCTTGGCTTGGCCAGGCTGCCCGAGTGTTTCTCTTCACTTGGAAAAACTAAAGCGGACCTGGCTGACCGCAAAATGCTTCGGCTCGGTAGATGTCAGCTGGAAATAGCTGCTGTGGGATGGCTGCCCTTGCAAGGCAGGAGGAGAAACACAGACACAAGCCAGGGACTGGTGGGGGGGTCACTCTGCTTCCAGGAAAGGTCTTTGCTCCCTGCACGCCCTTATGCAGCCCCAGCCGGGGGTACCATTGCTTGGCAGCACGGGGCCAGCTGCCCCTTTCCCCTCTGCCTGCACGGAGGCAGGGTTTCCTCATTTTAGTGTCCTGGGGCAAGCCAAGCTGCAGTCACGGTGCCCTGCGAGCTCCCAGAGTGGGCTGACACGGGGCAGCTCTTGGGGCTTTGCTCGCAGGAAGGGGTTAAAGGGCTTGGCGCTGCCAGCGGCAGTGGTGCTAACCCCTCCAGCCACGGCACTAATCCCTCCACTGTCCCCTCCCCATAGATGCAGAACGTGATGTACGACCTCATCACCGAGCTCAATGACCGCAGCGAGGACCTGGAGAAGCAGATCGGCAGCCTGGAGTCCAAGCTGGAGCAGCTCAGCGCCAGCTTCAACTCCCTGCCCCTGCTGATGGCCGACATGCTGCGCCAGCAGCAGCAGCGCCTGCTCGCCGCTGTCCTGGAGGCACGGGGGGTCGGCGTGCCGGTGGGCACCCCCCAAACTCCTCTCTCCGAGAGCCCCATCGGGGTCAGCTCCACCTCCTTCCCCACCCCTTACACAAGCTCAAGCAGCTGCTAAAACGCAGTCCTCAGCCCCCTCCACGGACAGGGGAAGCGTTTCCGCGCAGGTCCCGAGGTCTCCATGGACTTTCTGGTCCTCGAACCACCACAGGACCCTTCGGCCGGAGCCGGTAGGACCAGCAGTGCCGAGCGATGCTCGGAGCTTTGCCAACGCCTTGGTATCGGGAATCGCATCCCCATTCAGGTGCCTCTACACATGGTGAAGGAAGGGGACGGGAGGCTACGCCTGTGGCGAGCCTGCACCGCGGCGTCCGGTGGCGTCTGGAAAAACCCACGCTCAATCTCAGGTCTTCACATTTGAAAACAAAACAAAACAACAAGTCAGAAGCACTGAAGCAATGGAGACACCAGAGGGAGAGTTTTCCTCCCCTGCGTGGACCCCGCCAGGGGCTGGGGTGTTCCTCTTGCCCCCCCTGCCCTTCTCACCATCGCAAAGCCCCACCGGGCAGACGCCAACGTGGTGGTTTCTTGCACAGGCTCTGACCTATGCTGCCCACGCTCCATCCCATCTCCTTACTGGGACCCACACGAACCCCCGCCTTGCATTGCCGGGTGGGTGACAGTGTCTGGCCATAACCTGCCTGGGGGGGTTCTCCAGAGCCGTGAGTGTTTTCTGCCTGGGCAGAACAAGGGACGCTTCTTCTTTCTGGTCCTCGGTGTCATATTCTGCCTGGAGACATGCACTGGAGCCAGGAAAGCAGTGCCTAAAGCGTGCAGGGATGTGGGGCCAGGCAGGGCTGCCCCCAGCCGATGCGGCGATGGCTGATGACGGGGCTGGCAGGCCAGCCCAGGCACTGGGGCAGTCTCCAGGTGCTCACATCGCCGCCCGCCCGGGAGCCCCCCCCTAGCATTTTGGGAAGCCACTGGGCTCTTTGCGGCGGCCTCAGAACTGCCGGATGAAAAAACCCCATCAGCTACAACTGCCTCTGCTCTCACCGGGAATGTCCACGCTCGAGCCCAGCCAGCAGCACTGAATCCGCCGGGGTCAAGTGGGGGCTCGCTGGCAAGTGATGCAGTAGCGGGGGCAGGCGCTTCATCTGTTTAAAACAAAGCCCGTCGCCTTCGTAATGCTTCTGCTGGGTTTGGTGGGGATCGGCAGCACTGCCCAGCACCGTCTTGGCAATGGCGCGGTGCTTGGCATTAGCCACCGCCTGTGCCTGCCGAAGTGCAGCCCCTCATGCTTTATTTTTTCTTTTTGCTGGCGTTCAGCTTCCTGAGGTACCCTTGGGCATCACCCGGCTACTTCCAGAACCACCCATTTTCTGTTCGGGGGCAGGCGCTTCATCTGTTTAAAACAAAGCCCGTCGCCTTCGTAATGCTTCTGCTGGGTTTGGTGGGGATCGGCAGCACTGCCCAGCACCGTCTTGGCAATGGCGCGGTGCTTGGCATTAGCCACCGCCTGTGCCTGCCGAAGTGCAGCCCCTCATGCTTTATTTTTTTTTTTGCTGGCGTTCAGCTTCCTGAGGTACCCTTGGGCATCCCGGCTACTCTTCCAGAACCAGCCATTTTCTGTTCTGCTTTCACCATTTCCCTCTTTTTTTTTTCCTCCCCAGTTCTGTCCCGGGGTCCTGTTTCGGCTCTGCCGAGTCCTTGCGTGGAGCCCTGCCTGCTGCTGCCGGGCTCCGGCTTTGGGGCTGGTGTTTGCTGCTTTCAATGAAAACTCAGCAGAGGCTATTTATATATTTTTAAACAGATGAAGTAACCATGTAATTACTCTGCGATATTAATTACACCTCACCCAGCAGTGTCAGTAATTGTAATCAAAGTCACTGTGTTACTCCAGGTATACTCAGCCTGTAATCTTCTCCTTTGTAACTCTTTCCCTTCCATAAATAACGCTGGATTTCATGCGCACGTAGGCAGGGACGTATCAGCCCGATGCCGAGGAATTTCTGTGCAAAACTCCACTTGCTGCCGGTGGTAGGTGGTTTACTCCTTGTGCCCTGCAATTAAAGTTACATAGAAAACAAGCACTAGTTAGCAAGGAATGCTCCCCCCCGCCGGCCCCATCCAGTGGCAGGAGGAGGAGGAGAAGGAGGAGGAGGAAGGCTGCAAGGTGACAGTGGGAGTGCTGCAAAAATGAGCTCCTGGTGCTGCAGAGGGGGTTGCATTGAGCCCGTTGGTAGCAGGGTAGTGAGCTGTGGTTGTTCCTGTTGCATTCAGGGAGGAGAGGAGGCGCACGGCGATCGCTGCCAGCCTCTTCTGGTCCTCGGCCGGCAGGAGATACTCGGCTTCTGGGAAAGAGCTGCTCTTCCCCTCTTCCAAGCTTTTGTCATTAGTGTAATTGTAGGGTGGGCCGGATGGCTGGGAGAGCGTTGCTGCCTTGGCAGCCCCCCAAGATCTATTCTTAGCCCTGCTGCTGCTCCCTGTGTGCCTACAGGTGACCCTCAGCCCTACTTCCCCGGCAGGAGAAGCTTCTGCCCGTCCCTGTAAGGAGCGTGGCAAGGGAGAAAACGGGAGAAGCTTCTGCCCGTCCCTGTAAGGAGGTTTTCAGCGTGGCAAGGGAGAAAACTCTGCGTTTCAGGCTCGTTCTCAGAATTTGCAATGTCTCCACTGGCCTGCAGGCAGCCAGTGAAGAAAAACCCTTCTGCACCTTTCCTGGGGTTTGGGCAGGAACAAACTGCCACGTGCAACAGGGCTGTGCACAGGGTGAAGTGCAGAGACGTATCCTGGGGCGTCAGAGAGCTGGAGGAAGTATTGATGCTTGAGAATTAGTATCGCCAGCAGGAACCTCCTTACGGGCTAATGATCAAGTCTGGGAAATCAAACGGAGTAAGACAAGACCAGGCACTGTCAGCTTGCTGGGACCTGAGGTGCTGAAGGGGAGTGAAGGACCAGTGGTGAGAGCTTCAGGATCGCAACCGGTGCAAGAGATCCTTGTCTTGGGGCAGAGCCACTGCTTCAGCGGGATTTCACCAGGGCTGACAGGAGCTGGGCTGGGGCAGTGTGAGCTCTGTGCCTCGCACCCCACACCCTGCATCCCCCAGCCTCACCTCTGCACAACCTGCACCCCAAACAGACCCTCTGCCTGACGCCTTGCAGCCCTGAGTCTGCACCCTATGCTCTGCACCACGCACCTCGCATCCTGCGCACCCCACATCTTCCATCCCACACCCTGCATCCCCCCTACCCACACCCTGCATCCCGTGCACCCCTGCACCCCCGTCCCACACCATGCATCCCATGCACCCTGCAGCCCCGCCCCACACTCTGCACCTCACCCTGCTCCCTGCACCCCACCCCCTGCACCCCATATTGCACCTGCACCCCTGCCAGTGCTTCAACACTGGGTGCTGGTAGCCCTGACCCATTGCACTGAGCACAGGGGCTCACAGGACCCAACTGGGGCTAACCCCCAGCCCCGCTGCCGGGACCGGGGAGCTGCCCTGAAGCTATGGTGAGAGCAGGCACAGGGAGGGAGGAACCTCCAGCACCCCAGCACAGTCCAACCTGCAGCGTCCCCCAGTGCTGGGGGGCTCTGGGACCAGGGGTGCCCGCCTGGAGCCACTGCCCTGCTCCCTGCGAGCGGCTCTCAGTCACCAGCAGTTGAGCCGCCTTGGTGCAAGTGGCAGCCTCCAGCTCACGCCCAGGGGAGCGTGGTAGCTCGAGCTAGAGCTTCCCTTCCCAGCAGCGGCTGACAGGTCTCCGGTAAATGGCTCCCTCTCCCCATGGCAGGATGCTCCCTACAGACCTGAGAATGTCATTTTTGGAGCCCCAAAGGGCATCGGGACGAGCAGAGAGAAGAGCTGGGATCAGCAACCGAGGTGGAGGAAAAGCACAAGAACAAAACTGCGATGCAGAGTTATAATCCCAAAGAGATGCCGACCTCCCACAGCCAGGAAGCATCTGACCCCACGCGCCATCAGGGCTGAACCCTGAACCCCCTCCAGGACCCACCCAGCCACAGCCAGTCTCATTTTTGGCACAGCCTCGGTTTTTTTTTTTTCCTCCACGAACCTCCTCCCTGCGCTACCTGTGAGGAAACATCCTAGAAACGCCAGAAAAATACCACGTCCTCTCTGCAAACTCACAGACGTTTCTGTCCAGACTTAAAGAGCTTCGACCTGGGTTTGCATCTTGCCTCTGTACTGCTCGCTTCTTTTTTAACAATAGGGGAAAGCATAATAGTTTATTTTAACTATGAAATATATTGCTATATTATAAAGGTTATTGTAACTTTCAATTATGGTTTTGTACCCAACCCAGTTGTCAGCAGGCAGCAACGCCAGCCTGCTGCCAAAAATGTCTGTTTCTGAGTACAGCCGCTGCTCCCAGTGAGGACGGAGGCCAGGGCTGGCAGAGGAGGGGTGCAGGACCCCAGCCAGAAAGGCTCCCCACACTCCTTATCCTTTACCGCCCGGGTATTCATTCCCGTTACCTGGAAGCTGGCCTTTAGCAGGTCCAGACCCGCCTAGCCCGATGGCACCGGAGCTTTGCTTCTCCCTAGGGAAAGGTCTGCCCCCTCTTTTCTCCCACAGTCTCAGCGGTTTCTGGAAAGCCATTCCCCACCCTGGTCGTCTCCTCCAGCTGAAGGAGGGACTCAGCTCCCTGGGCACAAGCTGTGCAAGAGCCAAAATGCCCCCTTTCCCCCAGGATGGAGGCTCTTGTGGAAGAAGTGGTGCAGGGCACGCTGCTTCCCTCCTCCAGCTGGACTTTCGGTACGTTTTGGCTCAGCATGGGCAGGATCCAGGCAAGCTTTGAACTAGGGAATCACTTGTGCCTAGGAAAGGGTGAGGGTGCAAACATCCTCCTCCCCCCGGCAAAGCTGGTCTGTACCACGCTGGCCGCCGAAACGTGCTGCTCTGCATTTGGCCTGGGGACCTGCAGGCAGGCAGGCAGGACTGTTCCTGCCTGCTTTGGCTCCCTAGACATGGAGTTGGGCTGTGCGGGGTTTGCTCAGAAGGAGGCAGGCAGAAATAGCATGTTTGCTTTTTCCTCTCAGGTCAACGTCTACTTTCTGGGATGGGGGTATGGGCAGCCCTGCCCCGGTGACGTGAG